TCATGGCCCCTCACAGCCTGGACCTCATGGCCTCATGGCCCCTCACAGCCTCATAGGCCTCATGGCCCCTCACAGCCTGGGCCTCATGGCCCCTCACAGCCTGGACCTCATGGCCCCTCACAGCCTGGGCCTCATGGCCCCTCACAGCCTCATAGGCCTCATGGCCCCTCACAGCCTGGGCCTCATGGCCTCATGGCCCCTCACAGCATGGGCCTCATGGCCCCTCACAGCCTGGGGCTCATGGCCTCATGGCACCTCACAGCCTGGGGCTCATGGCCTCATGGCACCTCACAGCATGGGCCTCATGGCCCCTCACAGTCTGGGCCTCATGACCTCATGGCCCCTCACAGCCTGGGCCTCATGACCTCATGGCCCCTCACAGCCTCATGACCTCATGGCCCCTCACAGCCTCATGGCCCCTCACAGCCTGGGCCTCATGGCCCCTCACAGCATGGGCCTCATGGCCCCTCACAGCCTGGGGCTCATGGCCTCATGGCACCTCACAGCATGGGCCTCATGGCCTCATGGCCCCTCACAGCCTGGGGCTCATGGCCTCATGGCACCTCACAGCATGGGCCTCATGGCCCCTCACAGCCTGGGGCTCATGGCCTCATGGCCCCTCACAGCCTCATGACCTCATGGCCCCTCACAGCCTGGGGCTCATGGCCTCATGGCCCCTCACAGCATGGGCCTCATGGCCCCTCACAGCCTGGGGCTCATGGCCTCATGGCACCTCACAGCCTGGGGCTCATGGCCTCATGGCACCTCACAGCATGGGCCTCATGGCCCCTCACAGTCTGGGCCTCATGACCTCATGGCCCCTCACAGCCTGGGCCTCATGACCTCATGGCCCCTCACAGCCTCATGACCTCATGGCCCCTCACAGCCTGGGCCTCATGGCCCCTCACAGCCTGGGCCTCATGGCCCCTCACAGCATGGGCCTCATGGCCCCTCACAGCCTGGGGCTCATGGCCTCATGGCACCTCACAGCATGGGCCTCATGGCCTCATGGCCCCTCACAGCCTGGGCTCATGGCCTCATGGCACCTCACAGCATGGGCCTCATGGCCCCTCACAGGGCCTGGGCCTCATGGCCCCTCACAGCCTGGGCCTCATGGCCTCATAGCCCCTCACAGCCTGGGCCTCATGGCCTCTCACAGCCTGGGCCTCATGGCCTCATAGCCCCTCACAGCCTGGGCCTCATGGCCCCTCACAGCCTGGGCCTCATGGCCCCTCACAGCCTGGGCCTCATGGCCCCTCACAGCCTGGGGCTCATGGCCCCTCACAGCCTGGGGCTCATGGCCTCATGGCCCCTCACAGCATGGGCCCCATGGCCCCTCACAGCCTGGGCCTCATGGCCTCATGGCCCCTCACAGCCTGGGCCTCATGGCCCCTCACAGCCTGGGCCTCATGGCCCCTCACAGCCTGGGCCTCATGGCCCCTCACAGCCTGGGCCTCATGACCTCATGGCCCCTCACAGCATGGGCCTCATGGCCCCTCACAGCCTGGGGCTCATGGCCTCATGGCACCTCACAGCCTGGGGCTCATGGCCTCATGGCCCCTCACAGCCTGGGCCTCATGGCCCCTCACAGTCTGGGCCTCATGACCTCATGGCCCCTCACAGCCTGGGCCTCATGACCTCATGGCCCCTCACAGCCTCATGACCTCATGGCCCCTCACAGCCTCATGGCCCCTCACAGCCTGGGCCTCATGGCCCCTCACAGCATGGGCCTCATGGCCCCTCACAGCCTGGGGCTCATGGCCTCATGGCACCTCACAGCATGGGCCTCATGGCCTCATGGCCCCTCACAGCCTGGGGCTCATGGCCTCATGGCACCTCACAGCATGGGCCTCATGGCCCCTCACAGCCTGGGGCTCATGGCCTCATGGCCCCTCACAGCCTCATGACCTCATGGCCCCTCACAGCCTCATGACCTCATGGCCCCTCACAGCCTGGGCCTCATGACCTCATGGCCCCTCACAGCCTCATGACCTCATGGCCCCTCACAGCCTCATGACCTCATGGCCCCTCACAGCCTCATAACCTCATGGCCCCTCACAGCCTCATGACCTCATGGCCCCTCACAGCCTGGGCCTCAACAGAGTTGGTTGCTTTGTGGACGAATATCACAAAAACCTGGCAACCTCTATAATGGGTATAAGAATAAATAAGCTGCTTGACAGGCAAGAATAAAAAGTCAGTTGAAGAAGTAAATAAAGAAATTAATAACATGTAATGTCAGTACCTTTATAAGCAGAGGAAATGTCAGTTTTCTCTCCTTAAAATGCTTTTCCAGTTTGTGTTTGGAGACATTCCTGAGAAAAAGCAAACCAGAGTTTCACTTAATTAAGCAAAACTTTCAGGTAAATTTAATATTAAAGATTATGTGAGTAAAAAAGAAAATATATTCTTCAAATGTTGATTTTATTAAGAGGCAGAAGTCCCCTCTGTGATCAACCCTCCTGATAAATCATTAACTGGATGTGGTTAACCGCATTGTTTGACTAGTTACAGCCAATCCTAATTACTATACTCTGCAGAATTAATCAATCACTTCAATTGAACCAGGCTGACAGCACTCTTCACCACCACAGGATACGCGTGCAAGATAATGGATGAATGAATAGATACATTTTTAATCATTAATTCATGCTTAGAACAAACAACTTGTCCGCTAATATTAACATTGCTATCTGAGTTCACAACCTGCCCACCATAGCGCGCACCGACGCAACGGCGTTAGTTTAGCGCAGCTAGCTTAGCTAAGCTACTAGCGTATTAGCAGTGTGCTAAGTCTTCATTTTGCGAACCTTGAAAACGGTGAAGCTCGTGATGAACTCGGTCTTCCTGGGAAATTGGTGAAAATAAAATAAAAGTGATAGTAAAAAATGTTTGGCCTCAATGTCGACGGGCCGGTGGAATCCGTCACGTTTTGCAGTTTCCGCTCTATTGCGGTGCATTCCGCGCATGCGCACGTTCCTGTACCGGCTGCGTGGTGACGTCAAGACGTCCTGGAGGCCGACAGTCAGCGGATTTCTCTAATATTCAGATAGCAAAAGTATTCACATTTTAGGTTTTTCTGGAAAACGAAGTTGACTGACATAAAATGATAGTTTGAATTCAGACATTTTGAGTCACAGACGGTGGCTTTAATGCAACCTAAACATTTACTGTCAATAAAATTCAAGAAAATGTGGATTTCTTTACTTTTTTATATCAATTTTGGGTCATTTTATGTTGATTTTAACTTGCAGCAAACGATAGTCAGGATTCTTATGCAAATCGATGTTTTGGCACACCAATCATGATCTCAGAGATTCATCCAGGTGGTCCAAAACCCAGAACATCTAAAGCTCAGTCAAGTTCCGGGTCAGAGGTCATGATTCAACCATAAAACAGAGAAACTGGGTGCAAATGGCTTCAACAGGAGACTCCCAAAACAAGAACCACTGCTGACCCAAAAGAACACAAAGGCCAGTATAAAAAGCAACATGCTGATAATCCGAAAGGCTTCTGGGATAAATTTCTGTGGACTGAAAGGAACCAGTCTGACAGCAGTTGTTCCTGGTCATTTTTGAATAAATCAATTAAATTGCTTTTTTATCTGGATATAACTTATCTTTGATGAAAATCTATAAAGAAAAACTAGCATATGGTGAGTTTGCAAAAAATATGGTAAATGTTTCATTGAAGCAAACACAAAATAACTGATTCAAAACCTGTTGCATTAAAACTGTCCCTGCTTTTATTGACGTGAATTAAGAAATATTTATATTTTAAAAACTACAGACCAAAACTGCTCTCCATGGTTAGATCTCTGATATGCATTATGGAAATAATATCTAGAGGTTTTAAGTCATAACTGATCTTCAGTTGGATTTTTGTATCGTGATGCCTTCTGAATTCAGTAATTAATATAAATCAGGAACGATCATTTAGCGTATCATTTATTGTGAAAAAGAAAATTGTATCATAAAAATTTTGATTTATCATCATGATATATTTTAGTTATTTGGTAACTAAGAAAACAAAACAAATTAAAAAATGTTTCATTTTCTGCATTTTTTATTCCAGAAGAGCATAAATAAATTTGAGTAAATTCAAAAACATGGTTAAATGCAGCAGTTTAGTGATATAAATCATATTTCTTTGAGCAATTTCAAGAACCACAAAATATTGCTATAAGTTTCTAGTTTTGCCAGCCTCTAACATGAACATTATTATCTCCATTTTCAATTATTTTCATATCAGCATAAAGTTTTACAGTTTGTCCCCTCGCCCTCTAATTAGATACAAACCTTAAATAAGAGGTAAAAACTGCCTGACCTTTTCTCTGTTGTCTTGCGCGGCGTGTTCATGGTGATAACAGCAGCTATGGTGACCCCGGACACCAGAACCAGCACACGGCAGGCAGCTGGACCCAAACCCAGCGGCGCAGTGAGCAACCCGCTCTCATACTGATTCACCTTTACTCTGACGCAGCTTTCAGCCAGGTGCTCAGGTGCACGCAGGTGTGACAGAGAGTCCCACCCCCCAGCGGGTCTATGCTTCCCGCATGCTGCCGCAGCAGGAGAGCAGGTCCTGGCTCTGACAATCCTCCTGTTATTCATTCAGTTTTCAAATTAAACACAAACGCTAATGTGTTGAGAAAACATCTGAAGTCATGCGGGAAGGTAAAGGAGTGATACCTCTGCAGCTCTATAACCATCTCTGCTCACAGCAAATCTAGGAAGTTGTTTTCATTTCTTTAATTTTCCTCAGATTTTCTTTTCCTGTCACTATAATATACAAAAAAAGAACAACTTGTAGTTTTTCTACAGATCCTTCCTCCCAGCACTGTTATCATTGCTCCCAACAATCTGAAAAACTTGACAAACATGCTGATATTTGCAGGTTTTACTCATTTTAAATAACATTCCTGCTGTGAACGTCCTGCCCATCACAACTGATTGGTGAAATGACTTACATTTAGGTCCCCTGTTAGGAGAAATAAAACCATCAACAGGTGAAAAAACAGATTTAATTTTATCTTGAGGATGACAAAAGGGACAGGTTTGAGTCATTAGGTTTATTAAACTAAAACGCAGCACCAGTCAGAGAGAAACATTCGATTTGTTTTCAGCTTATTCTTGTTAGGCAGTAAAAACCAGAACAGCATGTGAACAGAGCGTAAAGCTGCTTCACTTTCCAAATAAAAGCAAATAAATGTTCAGATTTATTACTGGAAATCTGTGAGCAACACTTTCAGAAGTTTTATTATCGTACTAAATATCAGCTTTTATGTCCTTGTTAGAACGTAAACAACTGATCCGATGTTCGTTAAAATATTACTTCAGCTTGTTTTGATCTAACAACTAATTCAACCTACTTTCTTTTCAAACAAAACTATGGATATATGCCGACTTTTATTCATGCATGTTTGTAATTCAGATTTTATTATTTACTACATAACTGAAATAAACCCCAGCTTCCAAACTTCACTCATCTGGGACTTATTCTGCTAATTATTTTGACTCTGAGATCATTTTGGGGTTTAAAACGGAAATGTCAGCCGTGCAGCTGGATTTATTCGCTTGCTGTCCGTTTAACGCTTTGCAGATTTACGAACTCTGAGCAGAATGAGGACGAGCGCCACATGGTCCTGGTTTTCTCTGATGCCCAGTTTGTTTGGATTGTTTTGGGGGGAAAAAATAAGAAAACACAAAAAAAATGTTCACAAACAGCTTTGGTCTACATCGGGCCTCTCCTTTGTTTTCCTGAACAGCTTCAGCATTTCTTTGGTTGGATAGCAGGAGGCGGCTTGATGAGGAGGCGGGCGGAGCCAAAGACCTCAGATCTGTCTCGGTTCAGGTTCAAACCGGACCGGGTCAACATCTGAGGTCGTATCAAAGTCGGCGAACATCCTGCTTTAACAGGAGATGATTGGAATAAACAGATTTTAATCTCAGAGCTGAAACAAGAGCTGCAAAACGCAGAATGTGAACAGGATGTTCATCAGCTGCTCACAGGTTTTTCATTCATGGAATTGCTTCATTTGATTAATAGAGTCACAATCAGCAGATTTCTCATTTCACCTCTTTAGCTTATTTTAAACAACATTAGAATTAAATTCCTTTTTTAAATAAGAAAATTTATATTTTATTACCTAAATCTCAGTAACAGGATTCCTTCAGTAAACATTTGATCATATTTAGCATCACTAAAAAAATCCTTCTAATATTTGTATCGAAGGTAAAACTGCCACTCCAGAAATTCTGGGTAAAACAGATTTATAGATAACGCAATAGTGTTTTTTTTATATCTTTAATGCAAAATGTTCATATTTTTATAGTTCTGCTTTGACTGTGTCTTCTCAGGAAGCGGCTTTTTTCAGAGTCTATTTACTCCCGTTAATTATAAGTTAACGTTTATTTCAATGATAAATTCATTGCGATAAATCTGATTAATCGCTTCAGCAGAAGATATTACAACTGATTTATTTTTAAACCTCTGATCAGCTGATGAACAGGTTTTAGTATTTTCTTCTCTTTTTTGTCTTTTTGCATTTTGAAGCGGGAACATGGCTACAGTAAACAAGCTAATAACTGAAATTTCATTTCCTGGTCCAAAGCTTTTTCATGCTGATTGCAAAAAGATAAAATGCAACGTGTCTTCATCCGAGATGCTTGTGATGATGCTTCTCGTAGCCCACTGCACTGTTGGAATTGGATCCTGTCAGAAAAACAACATTCAGCTGCAGGTCGGCTTCATTTCTCAGCTTCAATTTGATCCAATTCTCTAAGTCGTCTCACCCAAGAAGTCCTTGTAGTCCTTAAAGTATTTATGCCTCAAACCTCGTCCATCTGCAGGCAAACAGCAAAAACAAAACCTCGTATTAAATGTCTTCTGTTCATGACCTGTACTGGACTAGAACTAGAAATATTGGTGTTCTCTCCTTCAAAACATGAATTTAAAATTTCTCCCAGCAGTTCTGGAAACCAATCATTATCTTGCTTGTTTTCCAGGTTGTTCCAGTTTGGATGCATTTAAAAGAAGAAAAAGCAACTTTCTGCTCCACAATAGCAAGCATAATGTGCTTTTTTTGGTATGCTTTTACTTTGAAATGTTTATTTTAAATTGTAATGTTGATTATCAATGCATAAGAAACAGTGCCAGGATTTAACACATTAATTTTGATTACCGTAATTAATTACATAGATTTTAACACATTAATAACTTGTTTTTTTATACATTCTGGTAGGAAACTTTGTATTCACTTGTTTCTGGTACGCCTGTAAATCTGATGACGCACAAGCCAACAACCGCGATGGATAACTAAGCCGCTTGTCTCGTGGTTTGATTTCTGCTCCTGAATGATCTGACTGGCCTCTGGAAAACACTGTTGTTGTGTTCAAGTTGTGCTAACAGAAGTTAGCCTATCAGTGAAGCTTCAAGCCTAAGATAGCATCTCAATGCTAAACATGTAGCATTTAATGCTAATGTCAGCATCCACAGTCCACATTTCTAAAGAAGCTCAATGAATGCTCAGGGCTTCCTGAAACTGAATTTTGAGTTCAAAATGTTGCTTATTTTGTCGATGTATCTGTTGGTGTGAACTGCATCTCCAGTTCGACCGTCCAGCCAGCAGGGGGCAGTAAAGTCTTACCGGAGTTGGCGCGTTGCTTGATGCACTGGCCGCGGTTTGGGACACCAGCGGCGGGGCTCCCGGGGTTGATGATGTGGCACTCGTAGCCCGTGGGGCAGTGCAGAGGCTCGTCTCCGTCCTCCGTGGTGCTGCACGCCTCCGCTGGCGGACAGACGCACGCAGCACGCTTTCATTATCGGATCCACACAGTGATTTAAAAATGGATCAGATCTGGGTTAACGAGACCCACAGAAATGCTCACCCAAAGCAAAGACATGGTTAGTTAAATTATTAGCTGAAATTTTGGGTTGGTTGAAAAAAGGAGAAAATTTCAACCAAACAATCTGAGAAATGTGAAGCTGCAGTGATTTTATCGCCCAGCTCTCCCTGCGGTTCGGGTGTTCCTGTGTGGACCCACCTTGCAGAACCTCCTCCGGTCCGTCCAGCAGCCAGCCGTTTCCTCCCAGCCATCGAGGTTTGGGCTGAACCAGCCAGTCCAGAACTGCTCAAAACAAACAGCTGATTATCACCCGCCACTGTGACCCAGAACCGGCTGAGAGCTGCTGGATGCTGACCCACCCGGTGGGGGCTGGACGGACTCCAGGCAGGCGTAGATGCAGCCGTTGTAGCAGCAGCGTTTGTGGCGCTCGCATTCGGAGTCGGAGCGGCAGCCGGGAACGTCGCAGGCCCGCTCCGGCAGCATCTGGGGCGGCGGCGGGCACCGGTCGTTCTTCTGCTGCTGCGTGGACTGCGGGTGGCTCGGGTACTCGTAGTCCTGAAAGACAGACAGACAGACGCTGGACTGAGAAGCTGTTTGTGTCTTTGATGATGACCCCTGACCTCTGACCTCTGGAGGCGGTTTCTGATGGGCGGCATGAGCTCCTGGACCAGGGGATGCATCGATTTTCACTTCTGATACCGATATCTGAGGTTTAATCGCTACTGATCTGATGCAGACAAACCATTATTTAAAAACATGAATGTAATGAAATACAAATTTATTTACTAACTCAGCACCAGCATAGCCCACTTAAAAACATCAACACCACAATGGTAGTACACTTTACATAAATATTTGACTATTGGTTAGATATAGAAATAAATAATTGTATTTGTATTTATTTTTGTGTTTTATAGTTTTTGTATTTGCGTTGCATACTTTTAAAGAGGCAGTTTTATGCACCATTTTATAACGTAATTAAGTAACTATTTCACCTTCAGTTGTTAAAAAAAGACATATATATTAAATATGACAAATGAAATTTGACTATAATTTTTGGCCTTGAAATTGGGCCTCTGTCTCTTTAAGAAACTCCTGGTCTTTCTGAAGCTCCGCCTCCAGGAAGTCATCCCAACATGGCTCCTTTTTTCCCCTTTAACGTTTTTACCAGCGTTACTCTGAGCAGCAGCTCCTATAATGAGCTCAGCATCTGTTTGCTAATTACTGCTGGCTAGTCTGAAGGAGCCGAGTGAGGGAGGGAGGTGTGTCTCGAAGGCGGGGCTAAGTCCAACCAGGCGTTTTTACACAGCTGAATAGTTGCCATGGAGATTAAAGGGTTTCTCAAACCCAGCCGTTTCCTCCCAGCCATCGAGGTTTGGGCTGAACCAGCCAGTCCAGAACTGCTCAAAACAAACAGCTGATTATCACCCGCCACTGTGACCCAGAACTGGCTGAGAGCTGCTGGATGCTGACCCACCCGGTGGGGGCTGGACGGACTCCAGGCAAAGTATACCACCATGGTGGTGTATACCACCATGGTGGTGTATACCAAGGTTTGTTTGAAACCTCAAAAAAGTTAATTTTACATAAAAAAATACCCTTTTAGCTTCATAATATAATATGTTTGTGGCTGTTTATACTTTTATTCTCGTTTCACATTTTTCAAAGTAAATATTAAAATTAACTTTGAGTTTGTCTGATTGAAAGGATGGGTTACAGCGGATGAAGCATGTCAGCGCCCCCTGCAGGTGGGGCAGGGAGCAGTTGGAGGGGGGCAGTGTGGTTCTTCACCCAGGGCATCAAACAAGTTAGGACTGTCCCTGATCTGCACCATTTACCAGCCAAACAACCATTTGGACCCTCGGTCCATCGACTGGAACACATTCAGAGCCACAAAACAGTTTCACAAAAGAAACAGTTTTTCTAAAACCAATTTATTTCTACTTCTAACTTTCAAAATAAAGATAAAATTTAAATATAAAAAGCTCCAATTCTCTTGTGTTGGTAATGAAAAAACTTCTGGTCATGTTATCTTTACACCACAAGAGGGCAGCAAAAGGCAGCGGAGAAATAAAGTAAACTGTTGTCTGCGCCTGAAGCAAAGACTCACTTTGGCACATTAGGAGGTTTGTGGCTGTAAATGTGAAATAAAGTTTCAACCAGAGCAGCGAGGAACCAGGAACACTTTCAACTTTCACACTCTTTGTTTTAGCAACAGGAGAAAACATGAAACAGGGAAAAAATGGAAATTTTACCATGCTGCAGATTTTTCCATGAATTGAAAGACACTTTGTGAAAAAAGACATGAGAAAAAGTGAAGTCAGGGTTTGCTGTAATAAAATCCATGTGTGTTAAATCCAGAACAATAGAGGACCATTTGTACTGCAGCACCAAGCAGGAGGCGTTGGATTAGAGGGAGTCGAGCCTCTTACTGCTGAAACTGTGGCTGCTTTAAAACAGAAGAAACAAGTTTCTATCAGGTCAGCCTCCACTTTTCATGGTGAGGAAATTAATAAATAAATAATAAATCTGTCATCATAAGTTTCATGCTTCTATGATGCTGTGTGTTTGATTTTTCTTCAGCAAGAACAAGAAAACCGGTCAGTTTATGAGAATCTGCTAGTTTAGACCAAAGCATATTCTTATGTAAGAACGGTCTAGTCAAAGTCCAGACCTGGATCTTTTTGAGAATCTGTTGCAGAGGTTAAAAACTGAAAAATCAGAAACAGGTGGAAACTTCAACAAAAAGAAAAACAATAAAAAAGGGTTGAATACAAATGCACACCACACTTTTCAGATACAAAATCCCAGAAACATAAATTGAAGGTGAGAAAATTGTTTACAAATTTGTAAACAATAATTAAAAATCATTTTCCTCCATTGTTTTGACACTAAGAGTCCTGGTCGTCCCTACAAACTCGCTCAGAGAAATTTTTTATGTAATTATGTAATTATACTGTGGGCTGCAGACCATCGTTAGAGTGTGTTGTTTATTTGGCAGGATAACTAACTGCCATCCCAGAGAAACCGCCAAGAGAAATGAAAAGGTTTGGCGCTGACGGCGGTATCACGGGCTCCGAGATGGGTTCAGGTCCGGTTCAGCCTCCGCGGGCCGGCGCTTTTCAGGAGGTTCAGGTTCCTCTGCACATGTGTGGCCGAGTCACAGCTGGTAAAAGTTTATCCCGGAGCCCCGAACCACTGCAAGCTGTTGACTTTATGCAAAGAAACAAAAAATGCTGTTATGCAACAAACTCATGAGGCGAGAAACGCTGAACGAAGTCAGACAACAGCTGAAATCGTTTGGGGAGAAGTTTCTGTTTGGTTCTGAAGGAAAACTCCTCAGAGGTCTTCAATCTGAGGGTCGTGACCTTCTGCTGGGGGTCGTGACCTTCTGCTGCAGGGTTGACAGAGTCCTGTTTATTTAGACTTTTTTTAAAATGTAGTTTTGTCTTTAAATACACGTTAACATGAATCCAGAATGCAACAAATTGATAAAATGATACACATTGTTTTGTCTTTTGAATAATTTAATACTCTTCTTACTATGGAGAGAGGAATGGGCCAAATTAGATTATGAAATATTTTTAGAATTTGACTTTTTTAGCTGGGAATAAATACAGAATTATAAGTATCTTTATTAAATATATGGATTTTATTAGACATATTATTGTGATCACATTGTTTTGTTTTATTCATTTAACAACCTTTCAAATATGGAGGGAAAAACATGCCAGATTACAGTAAGTAAATAACTTATGACTTGCAGTTGCTTATTTTTCTTTAAATTGTTCTAATTTATTTATCACAAACTCTGGGTGAGCAACTCCAATCTCTATATCTTTATTTATATCTGAAATTTATATCTAATAAATTTACCAGCGAACGTTAGCCGGAGTTAGCTAGGATCAACGTTAACAGTAGCTCACCTTATAATTTATTCTATATTTATTGAGTTATTCCTGCCTCACACTGTGACACTTTTAGTTTCCCTGAAGCGGTCGCCATCAGCAGCTGACCTCAGGTTTGAAGACAAGCTAACAGGAACGTCTCTGGTCAAAATAAATGTTTCATCAGACAGGAAGTGAAGAAACGGCGGTCCAGGAACCCAGAAGGAGTCGCAGTAAGATCCGGATCGCAGGAAGGCGATCTACTTTTTCTTCTACGCTAAAAACCAAATAAACAGTTTTTAACTATTTTTAATCAGCTTTATTTAATATTTCTGTTGGAGCATCAATAAGCTGCATTTGGTTTGTTTTCCTTGACTAACAATTAAAACATTAAAATAACTTCTATCCATCTGTTAGTATCTGAGTTTCACCGCGGTTTGATGAATGAGTGAGTTCTGTCAAATCTGCACTAACTGCTTAATAACTTAACGACCTCTGACCTCTCTGCTTGTCTCACATCCGATCAGTTCTGTGTTTCTTCCTGAAGCTCAAGTGTTTCCTTCCCGTTTATGGGAGTTTGTGTTTAATTGCCAACATGCAGCACATCCAACATCTGATTTCTGGAAACATCATCATCCAGCTACTAGTTCTTTCAACATGTTTGCTCTCCGTCCTCCAACCTAAACGTCTGTGAGAAGATTCCTGTTTCGTCTCTTCCTGTGCTTTCTTGCCGCCGGATGCCAGATGGGCCACCATGCTTTAATCCGGAGCTTTATCACACAATCCGGCTCCCGACTCTCTGATGTTTCAGTGTTTACTTTCCCTCCGTTCTGCCGGCTTGCCCTCTCATCGCGCCCCGCCAGCAGGACTGTTCAGTTTTCATGTCCCTCATCGTCTGCAGCTCCTTTTATCCTCTGTTAAAAGCAGGAACATGATGTTTGCTGTAACATTTGATCTCCGCAGGTCATTTTCTCTTCACTCCGAGCCCGACTGGCTCCAGATCGTTTGTGATTCCAACCCGAGATCTCAGACAGATAAGAGTCTCTGCTTCCTTTGTGGAAGAGCAGGAAACAGGAATCCTTCTGCATTCATTCATTCATCTCACAATACACCCTACAATAAATTTAACTGAAAAAGCAAAGGATAAAAACAACAAAGACCGAACAGGCTTCGTACGGAGTCAATCAAATTAATCCAGTAGATAAAGATTTTCCGTCTAAAGTCATTTAGCTCCTGCACTAAAGAAGGAAAAGTGCAGCTTTAATTCCTGCTGCTCCGTTTGCATCCTGTTACATAGAAAAACAGATTTCCAGACAAACGGAGAGCTAAAGGTGAGCATTAAAACCGAACAGAAAGGAGGGACAATAGATGGTCAAAATACTGAAAAAAAAACACAGTTTAAATAAAAGTCGTTAAAAATGTTATTGAAGAATATTCTGGGCGGATATGAAAAACAATTTTCATCAAAAAGTTTGAAAATGAACAAATAAGGCTGTTTTGTTTCAAATGGAGAAATTTGATCTTAGTGATCCAGAACTTTTATATGTTGTGAACTTTTTTATTATTTAGCTTTTGTTATTTTATTATTTTAGATAATTAGTGGCAGGGAACCATTAGCTTCTGCTAAATACCAGCAAACCGCTGACATGGTTCTTCTGCAGCGTGAGAAGATCTAATGTTTATTAACTGCGCTATGCTTTCAGTTTAGCGCAGTTAATGTTTTCGTTGGCTTTGCCCGCTGCTGCCACGACCAAAACCACAGAACTCGATCCTCTTTCCTTTCGGTTCAAATTTCCAGAAGGAGAAAATTCAGATTATCAGCCTGATTAATTTTCTAAAAGCAGTGACAATCTGCAGTCATCGCTTGTCTGTTTTTTTACTTCTAAACAGACAAACTGCAGTTTTTTAAATGTTTCCACTTTATTAATGTACTGTAACCAATCATGGAAAACAATCAGAAAGTTTAGTGAGTTCATGTGGAACATCTCCAACTTCTGCATCCATCATAACTCAGTTCTCTGTCAAGCTGCAGGCCAGATGGTTTCCCTGAATATAAAAATCTGTGAAGCCTGATCGAGGAAATATTTAGAAATATTAGGAACCTTTGAACATGCTGTCTGTTTCCATTCATCTGCAGGTTTTATCAGTCAGATCAGAGAGAGGCTGGATTCCTGGAAGATCTCATTCAGGATTTATTTATTAGACTCAGGATGCTTTGTTGGGTGCCAGCAGTTTTCTCTGCTCCATGTTTGGAGCCGTGGGCTAAAGATTCACAGCTGGTCAGACAAAGACAGGCAGGCACAACTGTTTCTGTCTGCAGGCCCTCTGTCTTCATACCAGGTGGAGTCAGAATGCTCGGCTTCGCTTTGCATGAAGGGAAAAACCACGATGCTCGCATTAGTCAGTGCAGCGGCATGCTGCAGCAGATCCCTCAGCCAGGTGGCGCTACGCCTGCAGGCTCTTTAACATCAGGCTGCAGCTTGGTCTGATGTAACATAAAAAAACAACTTCATCTTCAGTTTTCTGGACTGGGCTTTAATTTGCACGCGTTGCGTTCTTGAGACGAATGTCTCTGTAGCGTCTTTAAATAATCCTGAAATGCATGCTGGTGCTTTTCCTTTGTCTTCCCTTTTTTCCCCTTCCAGGGGTTTTTGTGGGCTCCAGTGTCCCTTATATGAAAGCAGGCTGACAGGAAAGGGGGAAGACATGTGGCAAATTTCGGGCCCGGGAATCGAACCCGCGATTCCCAGACCCGATTCAAGGCCTCCAAACGTGGGTCGCGCTGTCCGCTCCGCCATCACAGCATGCCTCTTGTCTTCCTTTTTAAGTATTTTTACATTTATTAATGTTAGAAACAGTCTCATTATTCAGTTACTTGTTACAGTTTTATCTTTTATCTGCTCATTCTTTTGTGTTTTATTTTGTTTTGGATTTGGATTTATTTCTCTTGGATCAGTGACTTTTCCCTTGGTTTGCAGGTTTTTTGTGATTTTTGCCTCTGATTAGTTCACCTGCTACCCTGGTCATTTTCTCAACCTGCTCACACAGTTTGAAAATTATCACACACTCCGGACTGGTTTCAGAAAAGTTTTCATCCAGAGGAATCCGCAGGTCGTTTTAATCATGCCACGCCCATAGGGGGCAGTGTAGCGCAATCCTGTTGACCAATGCAACAAGCTTGTGTATCCTGTTGCAGACGTGGTGATGGATGATGTCTGCCATCACGGCGCCACAGGTTCATTTGTGGGGAGAAGTAATTTAGTTACATACTGTATTAGAAAATAAAGTTCACAAGATGATGCTGATTAAAATCAAGTCAAAGCAAGTTGGTGGATTGATTGGCCCATTATTAATTTTTGACCATAAATCTCAGTTTTCTGCTAAATACATGCAAACATAAACTCAAAGTTTTCTCAAATCTCCACTTTGGTCAGATGTTTCATAAAAACCAGGACAGATTGCTGGTCGTGTTACTGTCATCTGTTTGTTAGCTGTGATTGGCTGTCTGCATAAAATTCTTAAATCTGGAAAAACAACCAACATGAAATAAAGGCAGTCGGAGCAGAGCCTGCTGCTGGCAGGGCTTCATTTAATGGAGAATGTTTCTCTTCTCGTCGGTCTCCCATCTTTCTGGTTCAGACTCTCTGAGGGTCACTAAAGGTCATCTGCTCAACATTTTGTCTCATTAGCAGCTCTGAGTTGCTTTGTGAACAATCTGAACATTTGGAGAAAAATCTAAGATTTTTCCAGAAATGACGCCACCAACTTTTAGTTTCTGGATTCTTGGAGCTCCAGATTTTAGTTTGTTATTCTCACGCTGCTCATTTTATTTTTCATGACTGAAATCATCTTTACTTCACCGTTCTGCTTCAAACTAGAGACAAAAACATAACAGAAATACTGATTCATAAAACTCACATTTCTACTTTTCTGCCGACAATCTCAATAAAATAAATGCAACAAATGCTTTTATTTTGCCACCTAAGAAATTTTCTGCTACAGTTTTTCTGTTTCTTTCTTTTCAGGGTTGGTGTTACTGACACTTTCCTCATTTATAGTTTATAAGTTACATAAAGAAAACGTCGCTGCACTAAAGACGTAATGAGGACGGCTAGTCGGTTCTGAAAGCAGCAGACGGAGATCTGAGAGCAGAAAACCAAGGGTGGGGGCAGAAAGGAGAGCAAAGGGGCAAATTTTCAGTTTTCTCGGCCAGCGAGGGCAGAAACCAGTCAGAGAGTGAGAACATTGAGGAATAAAAAGTTGAAAAGAGGAGAAAGCAGAACGCTACAGTGAGCGCTGACTAGAGATGATCAATCAGCCTCACTGAGCTGGGCTAACAAGCAGGGCAAACACACACATACACACACACACACACACACACACACACACACACACACACACACACACACACACACACACACACACACACACACACTGCTCTTCAGCTACTCACATGGAAACTCAAAAACTTGCAGTTTTTTCCAGCCTGACATACTGAACTCATCAAACAGAAACTCACATTGTTCTTATTTTCAGTACAGTATTATTAGAAAAGCAGAAATAAAATAACTCAGAATTCACCTAATAAGTAAAATACACATCAGATTATAAATGCAGTTTAAAGAGAGAAGCTGTTGATCAAAAACCTGCAGAAATCAGCAGAAAAAACAAAAAAACATGGAAAAAATTCTGTCTTCAGGCATTTCTGATTAACTACATTAATAATCTAACTAGTACTTTTTAACCAATTTTAAGAAATCATTTAGTTAAATCAACCTCCTATATGTTGATGAAATATGTGATGCTGCGCCGCGGGCAGCATCACACTGCAGCATCGCGCCGCGGGCAGCATAACACTGCAGCATCGCGCCGCGGGCAGCATCACACTGCAGCATCGCGCCGCGGGCAGCATAACACTGCAGCATCGTGCCGCGGGCAGCATCACACTGCGGCATCGCGTTGCGGGCAGCATCACACTGCAGCATCGCGCCGCGGGCAGCATAACACTGTAGCATCGTGCCGTGGGCAGCATCACACTGCAGCATCGTGCCGCGGGCAGCATCATCTATTTTCACACGGAAAATAGATTAATAGATAAATTTTGCAGAAAACCTGCAGAAGAGCTGAGACTGATGAGGAAGTTCAGCTTCCAGTAAGAAAATCAACCAAAATATGGTTCAGATCAAAATCTATTACTGTACTACAATGGCCTACTCAAAGTCCAGACAACTGAAAATATGTCGCAAAGGTAATAAAAAAGGTTTCTAAGGCTTGTAAGGAACAAATAGCAATATTTCCAATAAAAAAAAGAAATAATAAATGTAATTCTTTTTTAAATTTTTCGTCCTGATTCCCGTCTTCTCAGCCGCCCCTCTGCAACTCAAAATCCTTTCTGTTGTGTTTTTGGTCAGCCTGACCTTTCACCTTTGCAGAGAAACGGTGACGTGTGAAGCGAACAGAGGCAGCAGTGTCCGGCGGTGCGGTGACCTTTCACCTGCTGATCATGTGACGCTCATCAAGATGTTACCGTCTTACCTTCTGGGAGAGTCCTCTCTTCCTCCTGACATCACTTCCTGTGGACAGGACCAGCAGGGACAGCAGCAGCAGCTCCAACGCGCCAGGCATGCTCGCTCTTCAGACCGTCCTCCTCCTCTTCCTCTTCACGCATTTATCTCCTCTTCCTCCTCGTCCCAAACTTTCCAGCCGAAGCGGCGGGTCCCGGCCTCGCTCCCTGCAGCCGGTCCTGAATGCAGCGATGAACCACAGAGACAGAGACGAATCACAGAGCGGGACGCGGAGACAGAGACGGGGAAAGTCCAGACAGAGAGAGGAGGAAATGAAGCAGCAGCTGTCTGCATCAGAGAGCCGCAGCGCTCTGCTGGCGGGGGGGGGTGAAGCCCGGGGAGGGGCAGCGACTGCGACCCGCCCCACCGCCACTGCTCCTGGAGACACATCATGAGTTCAGCGTGTTGGACGCCCGTCTCCAGGGAGACAGTCTTCATTCTTAACTTTTAATCAACAAAAAGCAGCTGACAGAACGACAAACTACAACAAAACGTCACATTAAAGCAGAAAAAATGAAGGATTACATTTTCACCCAAAAAAAACAAAGCCAATATTTAAATTAATCTCAGAAATTGACTTAATAAAACTTGAAAATTTTCTTTTGGAAAATTTCTAATGTTTAAAAATTGAAAAGGAACTCCGAAATGTCTAACTTTTTTCTTTCCAAGTTTTTTCTTGTCTGCAGACATTTTCCAGAAAGGAAAGGATGTTTGGACCAACTGTCCAAATATCTGAGACTCTTGGAGAAAAAGGAATGTGGACATCAGAGGACATTTTCTGAGTTTCAAAGGTCCTAAACTTTTATCAATTAAGTTTCTGAGATCTCAGAAATTGTCTCTAAAAAAAGGAATGTGTAAATCCTCCTGGAGCCAAAGAGTTGAAAGATCTGCTGCTGTTCTCTAAAAATGAAAAGCAAAGCAACGTTTGTTAAAAGTAAAGACTTTGTCTCCACCTGTGCTGATGTACCAGATTTGTGTTAAAAAAAACTGCAGGTCCAATTTAGAGGCTATTTGTAGGAAAACATGCATGTTGCCATAGTAACAGTTGTGTAACGTGTTTGTGTGGGGGGTCAGTGGCAGTGACCCGTGCTAAACGGAGGCATGTGCTGCGTTTCAGAGGAAGGGGCCTCACTGGGTTTCCCTCCTCTAGTATCTCTGAAGTTGCTTCTTCTAAAATACTAGGACAAGCCCCCCACCCGCCCTCTCTTACCCCCCCAGTGCAATTTTACCCCCCACCGCCTCCCTCTGCTCTCAGTAAATGGCTCTGAAAGGAGGGAAGGAATGTAAGCCTGCACAAATCTCGGTCATTATTAGCTTTCCAGGAGCCGGGCTCCTGTTGCTGGGAGGCCCCGGCTCCACCCCCGCTAACCAAGAGGGGCTGGGGGAGGGGCAGAAAGAGGTGTGGTGGGGTAACTGCGGTTCATGACTGCAGCAGAAAATGTTACGGCTTTAAACTGTTTTATTATGAGAAAAGTCTTCATGTCAAACATGAAGTGAAGCTCAATGCTAACTCTGCTAACCCGTCCAACCATCCATCCATCTATCTATCTTTGCATCCAAACATCTCAACATGCTAACATCCCAGCAGGCTACATGCTAACATCCGAGCCTGCTAACATCCCAGCAGGCTACATGCTAACATCCGAGCCTGCTAACATCCCAGCAGGCTACATGCTAACATCTGAGCCTGCTAACATCCCAGCAGGCTACATGCTAACATCCGAGCCTGCTAACATCCCAGCAGGCTACATGCTAACATCCCAGCAGGCTACATGCTAACATCCTAGCCTGCTAACATTCCAGCAGGCTACATGCTAACATCCTAGCCTGCTAACATTCCAGCAGGCTACATGCTACCATCCGAGCCTGCTAACATTCCAGCAGGCTACATGCTAACATCCTAGCCTGCTAACATTCCAGTCACGCCTGATGTTCCTAATCCTGGCTGGATTTGGGACAAACTGAGATCAGCAGTTTATGAACAGGAAAGGAGTCGACGGCAGAACGTCTCACGTCTCAGAATATCACATTCAGTCTGTTTTACAGTAATAGACATGAGTTTGATGGAAGCTCCCAGGTTTGTGTGCCAAACAGAAAAGATAAAGGAACGCCTCAGAGATTAAAGCTGCAGATGGAAAATCTTTTCACAAACTGAACATGAAAGCTGAGTTTTTTCTAGATGCATCGCAGCTTTTCCTCCAGGAACTAAAAGTCTGGAGGCCTCAGTGGGTTCCAGATCAGTGGATCACAGAAAACATGGCCGCTGCACCTCAAAGCAGACTGATATTTATTTATCGGACATAACAAGAGAGGTTTATGAGTCAAAATGTTGAGTAGTCAATGCATCAATCTGCATGAAACAGCCTCATATCCTATTGGTTGAACCTGGAACCGGATATTTACACTGAAATAACGCAAAATCTTATTTTGTTTAGTTTCTAGTGCAAATATGTTTGAAATAAGCCAAAAATAGTTTACAAGTAACTTTTCAGCAAAGTACAAACTTGTTTCAGGTCAATAATTGATGAAAACTAGTTACACTGACACTTCATTTCACTGACAGCAAAATATTTCCCAAGTTAAGTCAGGGTTGTTTTAGTTCAAGTTTACTGAGGTTTAGAAAATCAAAACTACGCAGGAATATCTTTACAGTGTTCATCAGTTATCGTTTTCAGCCATTGTTTACGTTTTATGTCTTATTTCTTCTGGTGCAAAATGTCACATCATTGATGAAGACTGCTGTGAAAAAGTCATGTGCTTGTTGGTAAAAACTGTTACAGTAATTTTATGTTTCTTTTGGAGAAACGGCTTCTTCCTCTCTGAGCGGAAGCAGAAACCAAACAATCGGTCCGACATGATGCTGCCGCTGCTCTGGAGGCTAACACACAAACCAAATAAGGATGTAGCAGCTGGTTGGTGTAATAATGACTTTCAGGCGGTTTGAGCAGCTGATGACGAGTTTATGACTTGTTTTTGCAAACTGACAAAGAAAATACTAAGTCAATGCCGAACAAACATTAGCTTTGGTGCATTTTTCATCCTAAGATCCAAACCCTGCAGCTTTTTCAGGATTAAAGTCATTTTTCAGGGAAGTCGTGTGTTGACGTTGAGCTGGCAGTCTCTCACTAACACAGGATCCACGTCTCCACATTCTGAAACCTTTTAACCAAGTTTGGCTCAAGTTATTTATTTTAGCTCTGAAAAATCACCCAGAACCCCCAGAACACAAACATTTTCAGAGCGAGTCTTTCAGCGGCCGGTTGTGTTTGGAGCAGCGGGGCTCGGCTGCAGAGGCGGTCGCTCGTTTGTTCTGCCAGCCACTTGTTGCAGAGTTCAGCGGTTCTCGTTCCCAGCAGGTCTTTCTTCGTACTTTGTGGATGGTTTTGGTTTGTCCTTAACAGGCCGCAGGCCGTAGCCGGCCAGCTCAGCGTTAGCTTACTGTGCTGACTCCTGTCTCTCGCTCTGCTACCTCTGGACTCAGGTAACCGTGACATTCCTCAGCTTGACCCTGGGGTCAGGAGAAACGGGAAACCCTTCCAGCTCTGCTGTCATGAATGTCTCATAACATATTGTTGTGACATGGTGACGGCTTCAACAGATATGTTAAAACATATTTTTCAATAAAAGGTTCCATGTTCCAGCATTAAATATGCTCCAGAGCAAACCATGATCAGTGTTACAGCAATTATTAATTCATCACATTTATGTGATGCAGCTTATAGAGTCGGTTCAGCCCACCTTCAATCTGTTCGGCTCAACGAAGGTCTCTCCCACACGATAAAACCACTGACACAATTTAAAAAGACAAACTGCTTTGCTTCCATTTTGTGCAGACTATGGCTTTTAATAACTAGTGTTTCTGTCAGAATAGAATAAATTAAACAGAATTGAAGATTGTCACAGTTTTTGTCTGTAGCTCAAATGGCGGCACCATCTTGTGACGTAATCAGGCTAAGACAAACCTGATTGTTACACAGAAGTGGAGGAAGTTGAGTGATTTCAGCAAAGACCTGAGGAATTTATCTGCAGCTCTGGAGGAACAAGCTTGATGCAGTGATGAAGTCCTACTGAAGGGCTGCAACCCCTTTTTTTCTGGGCCTTATTGTTCAGGAAGCAACAATGGCATGATTGTTTGGAATCAGAACCAAAAATGTTGAAAGGGAGACTATTTGAATGCGTAATTTCAAAAAGTGCAAAAACTCACCCAGAGTGGAAAACAGCAGGAGGGCAGAAAGTTGGACTTCAAAAAGTGACCAATCAGCAGAAAGGAGCTGGAGGAACACCTGAGGGAAGATACAGGAAATAAACACAGGGAATAAAGCAGGACCCTAAGCAAAGGCTACAGATGAACTCTAAAACATGAATGTAAACCCAAACAGAGAACTGAACACAGAAGAATCTCAGCACAAAGGAAGCACCACCATTTCCACCCCCAAATAATCCAAAACCAATAAAACAACTTCTGGGTCATTTCAGAATCTGTGGAGGGAACCAGAGATTAGTGTGATGGCAGAGAGGTCTTCCAACCGTTGCTTCCAATCAGAAATCAACTCATTGACTCAGTTAAATCAAAGCCTCAGCCTGCAGCAGTCAACCAGCCCAGTTCGGTCCACGTTAGCTCAATCCCAGACTGTCTACCCAGAAAAGTCCTGTTTGTTCGGGGAGGAGTGAAAACATAATCGACCCAAAAAAGGTTTGAAAGCCAAGAGGATAGCAGATTGCTCCAAAAACAGAAAGTACACTACAGAACAGGGCATTCTGGGTAAAAACAACCAAAATAAACATGCTAGCTTAGCACTAGCATCAGAAATGTCTTGTGGTCTTTAGCCAAAGACAAAATATAAATCCTTAAACTGCTATAATCTGACGCCTCCATCTTGTTTCCATCTGCTGAAGCAGGAAATTGCTGTCAGTGTCTTCAGAGGTTTTTTGTGCCGTTTCCTTCAGTGGTTCTTGATGCAGCGCCCCCACAGGCCAGGAGGGGAACAGGCTGGTTTGACTTAGAGCAGAGAGAAAGAACCACAGCAGCTGGAGGTGGAGCAGATGATGGAGTTTGATCCTAATAGGACTGATTCTACTGGACCTGCAGGAGGGAAACATCCTGAATCATTTGGGTTAAACTGCTGAGATGAAATCTCAGATTCACTGAGGTAAAAACTCTCTGTTCAAACAGGCAGTAACCTGGCATGTTCACTGTGTGTGTGTGTGTGTGTGTGTGTGTGTGTGTGTGTGTGTGTGTGTGTGTGTGTGTGTGTGTGTGTGTGTGTGTGTGTGTGTGTGGTTTTCCTGTAGAGCCTTGATGAAACATGGATCACGTTTTTGTTCCGGTCTCATAAATCAAAGCTTTGTGGGCTTTGATGTGGTTTTCTTTTGCAGTGAGGACTTTGGCTTTATGATGAGTATCTGTCTGTGTGCATGTGTGTGTGTGCGTCTGTGTGTGTGTGTGCGTCTGTGTGTGTGTGTGCGTCTGTGTGTGTGTGTGCGTCTGTGTGTGTGTGCGTCTGTGTGTGTGCGTTTGGGGGGAGGGCTACTGTCTGTGAACCTCCTGTCACAGTTTGTGTTGGTATGTTCATGCAGAGAGATGTGTTTATTTGTATTTCTGGGTCTTCTGCTTGGTTCAGTGATTAAAGATGAAAGTTTTGCTGACTGTGGCAAACATTCAGCTGCAGAGGAGGAACGTCTCCAAAGCTCGTAAGGTTTCAATGTGTGCTAATGCTAATACCGCCAAACATCAGCTTACTGTCTGTCTTTTCCTACATCTCATCAGTTATAACATTTTTGGAGAACTGTATTGTTTTTTAGCCAATGCTAGCTAACTAACTAACTAACTAACTAACTAACTAACTAACTAACTAACTAACTAACTAACTAACTAACTAACTAACTTTGTCCTTCAGGATTGACACTATTCAAAGTTCAACAGTGACCGACTCCTGTAGATTCAACGTATTTTGGTTTAAACTTTTTACTTTTTATGAACATAGAAAGTAATCCTGGTTCAGTTCTCCCGTTTCCCTGCTCTGTGGTTTCAAACCTCCAGTCGGTCGTGGCTGCTGGTACTGATCCAGGTTCTGGCTCTGGTAGAGGTTTTTACTGTTAAAGGGAAGTTTTTTCTTTCTATTGTTGCCACATACATGCTCAGCATGAGGCATTTATGTAAAGTCAATACAAGCTTGTCTGCTGCCGCCCCCTGCTGGTCAGGAGGAGAGAACGCTGCTAGTCAACGACTCGATGCTCTGCTAAGTTTTCTTAAAAACATTTTAAACTAATTTGAATCATAAACTGAACATATTGCACTGATTGATAACTAGTAATCAATTGGAATTACTTTTTCTGTAAAGAGACTTGATTCAACATTTGTTGTGATTTGACACTATAGAAATAAAATGAATTGATTTCAAATATAAAGTATTGAGCTTCAGACTTGCAGATCTTTTCTAGGCATTTTTAAAATTTCTTCTATGTTTCTTTAGCAGGAGGAAATCATGGCCGTTTGCAGCTCAGACCAGACTTTTTCCAGAATGCAAGATATTAAACTCTTCATCCGATGAAGTTAAACTTTTCCAGATTTTGAAAATAGGACAGCAGTTTCCAATTTTCCTTTAAAGTTTTTCAAGATGGGAAATATTCCTAATTTGATGTGTTTTGTAGATTATTTCATCGTCAGTCTCATCATTTGATTTTTGCAGTTTTAGAAATGCTGTGATGTCAGCGTACTGCCACAAGAGGGCGCCAGAGGCGAGCTCTAAACTTTAGTAAACTATAATGAAGCAACAAAGGAAGAAACAATGTATACTTTTAATGAAATCGACAGAAAACAAAACTCTTTTTTTTAATTCGCATAAAAATGTTTTTTTTCAGCTCCAGAAAAAAAAGTTAAAAGTTCTCCTGAAACTTAACTTGTTCATAAAAACTACAGACAGATGAAAGTTGATGTTAGATTTTAGAAATAGTATTGTTTCACTTACATAAACTCAAACCTGGTTATTATTTTATTGTAATGATGATTTGTTGTAGTAATTTTATTTCTCTTTAAGTGGTTATTCATGGTTATTGGGAAACATCTGAATGTGCCGTTATGACCATGAAAACTTCCAGGATTCGATTATTTACTAAGCATTGTTAAAAAATGCTGAGTTTATAAGAATCCTAAATATTTACCGACTTACGCAGCGTTTATCTTCTATTCCCGACCACAGACATGATCCTGCAGATTATGATTAGCTTGGCCTAATTTACTGGCTCTGACCTCTGCTGACCAGCTGATTTCTGAATCCAGATTAGAGCTGAACATGAACCGCAGTCAGAGTTCTTCATGTCTGGCTCGTTCCCTCTAACAGAAACACTTTTTCCAGCTCTTTTTCTCTGTGAGTGCAGCTTCGTTGGCTGATTTCTGACTCCGCCGGTTCATCTGGTGCAGAATTAGGAGGAACAGAGCAGAGACAATGAGGGCCACTCCGGACATGAGGAAGCCCGTCCCGTAGTTCTCCATCTTGTCAATGAAGAAACCTGAACGGAAAGCAGAAATAAGAAGTTTATCAGGAATTATTTAAACCTGAAATGCAAATATACCTACTGCATAATGTTGCTAACCAGCAGGAAAAAGAACACAGATGGAAGCTGTCCTACTTAATGAGGAGGACTGTGAAGTTCAAAGTCTGAGAAATACATAGCCTCTGTGTCAGACAGTTAAAAATAGGAGCTCATTGTCTATATTTGTAGTCTTTCAGAACCAGATTAATCTGAAACCAACTTGACCCCAAGAGACACAAATAAAATATCAAAGTCTGCAGCACTTCTGAAAAAATTTAAAGCAAACAATAAAACAAGGAGAAACTGATGAGAGACAGAAGCGTTTCAGCAGGAAGTCCAGCTGAAAGCGGCTGAGATGACGGCTGTGGTTTGAATCAGGAACTTTCTGCTCCGTAAAGCTGTTATATTATGTTTCCATTTGTTTTTTTCTGCTTCATATTTTCAAAAATCCAACTAAACTTTTACTTCTAATTAAAGGAATCGATAAGGTTTGTGGGAAGGAAAATCCATTTAGCAGCATGAGTGAACATTTAGAAAGCCAACAGCCATGAAATTAACACTGCAGCTTTTGATTATTTCAAACTGTGATCCTGTGAGACGTTTGACAGAATCATGAAGTAAAAGTCGCTGCTACATCTCAGAGTTGCGACAGGATCCAGTTTTACTGGATGATGAAGCTAAAAGCTGGATGAAGCCTTTTATTTACTCCATCAAAATGTAATGAAATTCTGTAAAAGAGTGAAGGTACTTCAAACATTGAACTGGAGATGGTTCCTGTTTGTAAAGGTACAAGTAAAAGAATAACAGCAGTAATTTAGGTTATTTGGCTTGTGACAAGAAAAAAGTTCCAGTTTATTTTTAAAAGTTACATTTTCACCATGTTAATTAATTTATAAATGTCAAAATCAGCAAACTAAATATGCAGTGAAACTCAACCAAGCTAAACAACCAAACCGGAAGTGGACGACCAAAATAAAAGCTATCTCAGAGCTAAATATTTAGCATGCCAACTAAATATTAAGATAAATATGTAGTTTGCAAGCTACATATTTAGCTCCAACTTCTAATTTAGCTTGATGACTAAGCACACGGTTTGGCGCTAGATAGCATCTTGCTAACTAGCTCGGATAGGAAGGCCGCAGCCATCGGGGCTTACCAGCGATGGGCGGCCCCAGCAGGCCTCCGCTGCTGCGGATCAGCATGAAGAAACCCAGCGCGCTGCCCAGCCGCTCCACGCCCACCACCTCCGGCAGCACCGTGATATGGACGGCCACCGTGGCGCCGTACACCAGGCCGTGGGCGGCGCTGAACGCCACCAGCTCCGGGAAGGTGGAGGCCAGCGGGCACAGCAGCAGCACGGTGCCGAGCAGAACCACGGTGGCGGTGAGCTGCTGGACCTGGCCAGAGAGAAAACAGCCCAACTTCCCGTCATGATGCTTAGATCGACACAGGAATATTTTAATGTCTAGGAGAAATCTGCTACAGGAGGAGTCACCGGAAGTGGAATATTTAGCTAGCTCAGAGCTAAATATTTAGCTTGCTAATTAATTACTAAATTAATTAGCTTCAGAAGGAACATTTTAATGTGAAGATAAAATCTGTTAAAGGAAGGGTCTATATTTTCACCATGTCATCCATAACATGGTGATTCACAGCCAGCAAGCTAAAAATGTAGCTAGCATATTTAGCTAAAATTAAAAGTTTTAGTAAGGTCCCAAAAACCGGAAATGTACCTCTGTAAATAACAGCTGGATCTTCTGAGAAAGCTACACATTTAATTTATAAATAACTTTCAAATTAAATATTTGGCTAGACTAAATGCATATCTAGCTCAAAGCTAATTATTTAGCTTGCTTCTAAATTTTTAAGTTTAAATTAAATACTTGGTTTAGTTTCAGACTTGATGTTTAGCTTGTAAGCTAAACTTAGAGCCATAGATTCAGTTTGAAGACAAATATTTTGTATTTAAATATTTAATATGTTTGTAGAAAAAGCCAAAAAAATAATTTGAGTCTTGTTTAATTCTCAATGCCTTCTAATCAAAATCAATAATAGAATGCAGGACAACTACAGGTGAGGTGTCTTCTCACCTCACCTTCTGCCCTTCACAATAAGAGTATACATTCAGGTGTGAAATATATACATTGAATCCGCCACAACGTAATATTTACATTGCGACAGACTGGTGACCTGTCCAGGGTGACCCCGCTCTCACCCGGAACATTAGCTGGAGAGACACCAGCACCTCCCGACCCCTCTGGGGTCAAGGGTGTTAGAAAATGGATGGATGGATATTTACATATAACCAAAATATTTAGCTATGTGCTAAATATTTATCTTTATAACTAAGCATTTAGTTTGGAGCTAAACATTTAGTGTAGTTTCTGTAGGTTTACAGATAAGAAGTGATTTGAAAAAGTGTCCCCCCTCCCCGATCTGTTTCTGCTTGCATCCCATGATGCTGAGCGTACCGTCTGAATCAGCCTCAGGTTCGCCACCCAGCCGAAGAAGACTCTGCCGAAGAGGTCAAGCACTGCAGAGATGGACAGCAAGGCCGCCGCCTGGTACTCGCTCAACCCCTGGCTGCGAGCGTACGGAACCAGGAAGAGCGACGGCGCGAAGAACCCGAGTGCCGCAAACACTCCGAACATGGAGTAGACCATGAAGCGGCCATTAGTGATGAGCGTGTAGTCGACATAGTGCTGGACTCTAGTCCTCAGTTGGGTCTTCTTTGGACCGGATGAAGAGTTCCCGGTCACACTGGACACCTCATCAGAAACTTCAGCACAATCGTTCACCGTTTCCTGATCGGGCATTTCCAGAACGTTCAGTTCACTTTCCAATCGAAAGCCCAGCTTGGTTTCCTCCAGGTCTCCTTTCTGGAGGCTCTCCTCTTCTTTGACCTTCCTGATAACGTTAGCATCTGTTGGGGCTCTCAGGGGCCGGAGCAGCATGCCGCACACACACAAGTTGAGCTGCAGCCCCCCCAGCACGAGCAGCGCGCCCCTCCAGGAGAAGCTGTCGATCAGCAGCTGGAACAGCGGCGTGAGGCTGAACGTCAGGATGCATTCTCCAGCGCTCGCCAAGGCGTTGGCGACCGGTCGCCTCTTGTCGAAGTACTTGCCCAGCATGGTGACGGTGGGGGTCCAGGTGAGGGCATAGCCGAAACCTGCAGCAGTCAAACGGATCAGGAGCCAAACCCACCAGAGCAGGACCTCCTCTTTGTTTTTGCTTCACTCACCGTTTAGGAAACCCACAGTTATGTAGAGTTCAGTCAGACTGCGGGCCAAAGTGCCGAATGCGACAGCGGCGCTGCAGATCAGGCCGCCCGAGATTACCACAGCGCGATGGCTGAAGCGCGCAGTCAGAGCGGAGGAGACCGGGGCTGGAACAGAAACACCAACATGTGGAGAAACGCTAACATTTAGCTTTCACTTGAAAAGTAGGAAGAATGCAGTGAGACTTTCTGCTCAAAGAAAATTTATTGGACTTTTCTTTTTAAAAAACAAGAAGAGAAAACCTCCAAGACTTTGACAGGCTGTATTTCACTCTGGATTCAGAGACTCATAAAGAATTGGTTCACTCACAAACTTTTCATGTTCATCATCAGAAAAAAAGAAGAAATTTCTGAGTTTGAAAAGTAGAAAATGTGCTTGAAAAACGATTAAATTTTGGGATTAATTTATGAGTTTCAAAAGACAAAATAATGTGACTTTTGACACTCAGGAGTTTCCAAGTTTTTTCTGGAAAATTCAGATTAATCTCAAAATTTCTGAGTTTTTTGGCAGAAATGTTCTTTTCCTCTTTTATTTTTCTGTCTTAGCCCTCATACTCCGTCATTCTTTCCTCTATTTTCAGATGATGAAGTGGTTTCCTGGAGGAAAGGGCGGAGCTGCTGGACAGTTACCTGCCATGTGAATGGTCGCCACGGCGATGGAGGTGATCCATGATGTTCCTGCTGCTGTGGTGTCAAAGTGCTGCTGGATCTCAACAAAAAATACACCGAACGACTTGATCACACCGAAGGTCAGGCCGAAGACAAAGAAGCAGGAGAGCAGGATGAGCCAAGCGTAGCCGGCGTCTGGCGCCGCGGCGTCCCGCCTCTTCCCTCTCTTCTCCGGAGGATCCATGCTGACCAGCTGGGGTTCCTGCAACACTTTAACACATAAACACAAACAACTGGATGTTATTTCTTCAGCCTCATATTCTAATACGTTGAGTGGAAAGCGTTCCCTTCGTACCCCTCGGCCCTTTCTGTTCCCTCTGGAAGTCGCCATGTGTCAGAAGAAACTTTCACTCATCAGCTCTGAATGAAGAGCGAGGAAGGCTGGTGGGGACATCTGACCTCCCCACTGACGGGGCAAAAGAAAGCGGACACCTTTTCCAACAAGGCAGGCTGCAACACATGACTGGCTGTCAGCGGGACCGGACCGGAGCGGACCGGACCGGACCGGAGTGGACCGGACCGGAGTGGACCGGACCGGACCGGAGCGGACCGGAGTGGACCGGAGTGGACCGGACCGGACCGGACCGGACCGGACCGGAGCGGACCGGACCGGAGCGGACCGGACCGGAGCGGACCGGAGCGGACCGGACCGGACCGGACCGGACCGGAGCGGACCGGACCGGAGCGGACCGGACCGGAGTGGACCGGACCGGACCGGACCGGAGCGGAGCGGACCCCCTCGCCTCTAGGATGGTATTTATAAAATCAGCACGACCTGCCAGGACTTTAAACTTCATTCATTCATTGTCTCTCTGTGGATCTCTGAACTCACCTCAGGGTTATTATGCAACCAGATTAAATGTGAATCAGTTCACTGAGTTCTGCACAGAATCAGCTCATAAAGAAAAGACTTTAAATAAAAATGAGACCTAAGCCTCCACAGAGCTGTGAGCCCAGTGTTTTCTGTCTGTTTGGAAACAAACCTAAACCAGCAGGAGCATGCTGTCTCCAAAAGCTGGACGGGTTTCCCAGGCAACAGTAATCAGAATAACAGTGTTGCTGCAGGAGTGTTTGCAGAGCAGCAAGGAGCTGATTGTGGGATATTCGCTTCAAAAATATTTACATGTTTAATGTAGTAACAGGCTCTGAAAACAAAGTCCAGCCACAAACCATCATCATCATCACATTCCAACCAGCAACCTCAGAAAGGAAAACGATAACAGCACCAGGAATGGGCCTAGTCAAAGTACTGACCTAAATCTGACGGAGAGGTTGAGCCAAGACTTGAACGTCCACATGTTGTCCATACAGGTTCTGCATGGAAGAATCCATAAAATAAGGATTTCTAGACATGCAGCGCTGGTGGAGACGAACCCAGAACTGGAGCTAAAGGCAGTTCTATACAAACGTACACCGCACTTTTCAGATTTTTATTTATTAAAATAAAAATGTGGGTCACTTTCTTCCATTTCATTAATATGAACAGCCTTCTATTGCTTTGTCACATAAAATCTCAATAATAATTGCATGAATATGGTGAAATTCAGCAGGTTTGAGTCATTTTTAAACTCTGAGTTTATATTTTACATAAACCTGCTGCTGATGTAATTACTGTCCTGCACAGTAGAGATTCAATCTGTCATTATTAACATGCTTTTCCTGGGTGTTTTTCTTTTGAAGCAGATCTAAATTTTCCAGCAGGAACAATCTGAACTCTTCCACTGGCAGTTAATTTACAGACGAGCTAAAAACCTAGATGTGTAAAGAGGAAGTGGATTCTGCTGAAGCAGCAAAACGTGGCGAGAGGAAAAACTAAAACGTCTTTATTTACGCCAGGTGAATCTTTAACCGCTGCAAAGGCTGTTAGATGTTTTAAATAGACAATTAAACTAAATAAATACCAGGATGAGAATTATTGACCAAATTAAAGGATAAAATCAGAGGATCTGATTGGTCCAGATGTTCCTTCTGTTACCGGTACCAGACTTAGGGGAATGTTGAGTTTTGACAACATGGGACAACTGTCTGGTTAAAGAAGACGCCTGCGCAGTCAGCTCTTTAATTGCAGTACGATTAGCTCACAACTCGATGTCAACGTTGAGTTGCTTTGAGTCAGTATTTTCAAGTTGAACTGCTCCTACAGTCGCAGGTCGAGTCTTTGATGCTAATCCAAAACGTCTCAGTCTCTCTGCTTCTTCACCTGTAGACTTTGTGATCTGTTCTAACAGGAAGTCATCACTAACCTGCAAGTCACCAAGGAAAGGTTAAAGGTCATGCATTACGTAACAGTTTTTCTCATTCAATCCTTGGTACAGTGTGTGAAGAAATGTAACCTGTACCAGTTTCTTATCATAGCTAGGATCTGCTCCAGGTTGCTCTGACTCAGCACTATTTTTACCTCTGGTATGTGAGTGTAGGAACCTATTAAGCTCATTGATGTTTAAATCACATTTGTTAGATAAAATTTATTTGAATGTACCTGGCTTAATTATCTTGAAGATTGTGCAAATTGTTTCCGTCTCGGTAAAACCTTCCTGCAGCACTTCATCTATTTGTTGCATAGATTACTGACGCATCAGAAACCAGATTTGTCCACCATGAAGCTTAAAGTCTCCCTGGAAATCAAGCTGCAACATCATTTCCCCTCAACACCTCGTCTCCTACTCTGGAAGAGCGTCTCCTCTTACCAATTTCACTTGCTGTCTGTGGGATGTCAGCAGTGCAGCCTCCTGCTTTCTGTATTGCCTGCAAGGAAATGTCTGCTTCTGTCTGCAGGCCTGAATCGATGAGGTCCAGCTGAAGAGAGGCAGGACAACCAGTCCAACCAGCTGACATATTGTTGGTTCTAGACATCAGCGGTGAGCAGGTTACCAACCAGTTCATCCAAAAGGAGGAACTGAGCCATGCCTTCATCCTCCGACGCTTTCAGTTTTTCACTTTTATCAAAGTCAACAATCAAATCATGCAGTTCTGGTTCACTGAAATCATGACCATGAATGGCACTTCCATGGAGGTCACAACTGTCTGCAGCTGCTCTGTACTCAGTGTACAAAGTTTTTTCTGTATCTTGAGTATGAGAGCTCGCCGTGGATTGATGGTAGCCATGCTAGCATTTCTCAGGTTGCCTTGCCTCTCTGGATGACACACTCAATGCAGCCTCGGGAACCGTCTCTCTTTGTCTCCACGCCAGCCTTTCCTGGCAACACACTTGGTATCCCGGACGAGCCCCCAGTTGTTACCAGTACCAGATCTAGAGGAATCTGGTACTGATTCTTCCAGATGAAACCAAGGAATCATCTTGGTTGCAGATGAATCCTGTGCAACCAAGATCTGTGTATCACAGAAGAAGCAAGTTGAAACAATGTTACTCTGGTCAAAGCTCGTTTATTCTGAGCCGTGCATGCTCAGAACCAGGAAACTCGCTCTCCATGTTAGACCCACAACGGCACAAGAGCGCCCCCACTGGCAAGAAGGCACATGCACACAACAAACACGTCTATATACAGAAGAAAAGAAGAAGAAAAAAACGAAGATAAAAGACAAGACCAATTCTGATTCAAAAATAGGGAGTGTATTAATATATATATTTTACTTTTTCTCAACAGTAAGTTGGATTCTCAATCTACTACACTTCCAGAACCTGCCGGTACCAGATGGGAGACTTCTGGTTCTGGAGGATGAAAACTTTCCTTTCTGATAAAGGTTATCCTGTCATTAAGTTGCTAGAGGTCAAACTTTCTTCTCTTACTGCTCTCCAATTTGCATTATTTGTTGTTATTTAAACCGTTAACTTCATGTTTTCTGCTGTTTTCTCTAAAGCTGCTCCTGGTCTGACGTTGTGTTTGCTGCCATCAGCTCATCGTTCTTCCTCTCCTGCTGTTAACATTTTACTTTTTTAACATAGAAACTTCTCCTGTTTCAGTTCTTCTGTTTCTCTGACCTCCAGTCAGTCAAGGCAGATGGCCACTGGTACTGACCCGTGTTCTGGTTGTGTCGCAGGTTTCTTCCCGCTACAGGGGAGTTTTTCCTCTCCACTGTCCCCTGTGCATGCTCACTATGAGGAATGGCTGTAAAGTTGACGACAACTCAAGCAATTGTTTGGTCCAAGTAACTGTTTTTTTAATGTCGTTTTGTATTTAACAGAAACACTGTAATCCAATAAACTTTTACATCTTCAGAATATTGACGGCATTTAGACTGGATGCCCAGCTGGGTTTCTTTAGATAGAAACTTTTTAAACTAATTTAAATAATAAACTAAACGTAATGCACTGACTGGAATTACTTTTATTTTGTAAAGTTCCTCAAAACGACGTTTGTTGTAAATTTTCTCTGCAGAAATAAACCGAATTGCAAATGGAGAGGTGCATATTCAGATTTATATAGATTCATAACAGAGAACAACTAAGATTAAACTTTGAATGGACAGGAGTTTCTTCATTAAGAATTGAAGCTGCCAATTGGAGAGATTCATGCTCTGTACCTGCATAATAACTGGTTACCTGCAGTGTTGGGTCACTTGGCGGCCATCTTGCTCCTGCAGCAGTCAGCTTTCCAGTTCGGTGTTGGGCCGTCTAACGGAGACGTCTCTCACCCAGAAAACGCTGCAACATGTCAGCCGACAGCAACAACTCGGTTAAATAAAATCCTGATGCAACATGTGAGCCAAGTCTGACCTTTGAACCCCATTTTTTCCAGGATTCCTGGGTCTGTCGACATGCAGGCGTAGGTCAAAGTCCCGTCAGACTCTGAGTAAACTTGTGTGATTGAGTCAGCGTGTGATTCACGGTCGAGATCAAGAGAAAGAGGTTTTATCATCTCTGACGGCTCCAATGATTAAAAGTTTAAAACTTATCATGAAGGTCAACTGCAAAAAATACTAAATCTAACAAAGTATGTTTGGTCTAGTTCATGGTGCAAACACTTGAGTACACTTTAAATAAGACAAATTTAACTTGAAAGTATAGGAGAATGTTTAATCCCTTAATATTGATACTAAAATGGAAAAACGTTTTATTGTAAGTGAAAAAAATCTGCCAATGAAACCAATACTTTTCAATTTTAAGGAATTGTTGACCTAATTTGAAAAGTTATTTGAGAGCTGATTTTGTCTTTTTCAATTGTATTGAGATAAAAAAAAGATTAATCCATCCATTGAGATATTTGTACAAAAACCAACAAAAAAGACTTTTGTGTTTTTACAGTGTAATGATCCATTTGTCCCTCAGTTCAGAAAAATAAAATAGATTTATATTAGTTTATATTACCGTTTTTATTCAGTTGACTAAAATGTTTTCAGTTATTTTTATTAGTTTTAGTTTACAACCTTGGTCAGGATTTTTCCCTTTTTGTCATTCAGAGCCTGAAAATCATGAACATGTTTTCTGATCTGAACTATTGATCCAGATTTTTGTGGAAACTGAAGGGTTCATGACCTTCCTCGTGTTTCCATTCATTTATGAGACATGAACTGGGATCTGGAACGTTCTGCTGTAGGAACGTCACGGTTCACTGAGGAAACAACAAACATCTGTTTTCTACGGGTTGGTGAGTTTACGAGAAGTTCAAAGGTTTTGGGCAAAGTTCGGACGTAAACCCGAGTCAGCAGCTTCCGGGCCGCATGTTGTTCTTCTTGCTCTGCTGATCAGATTAAATATTACAGATAATGACTCAATTCTGTGTTATTATGAATCCACAGCCCTCAGAAACTCCTACAAACTAGCTCTCCCTGCTGCCGTGGAACCGGCCACAGCGGAGCGATTCCACCCAAACCTTTCACTCCGACCACAGGGTCCGGTTCTGCGGCTCAGATCTGGGTCCGGTTCTGCGGCTCGGAGCCGGGTGTAGTTCTGCGGATCTGGGTCCGGTTCTGCTGGGTCCAGAGGGACTGCACCATGTGTGGAATTGAATGATATCAGTTTTCAAAGCGTCTGAAGGTTCATGTCGCAGTGACGTTCTCACAGAAGCCATTATTGCTACTGAATGAACGTCCAAAAGAAAAATTAGACTTCAGCAGAAAATCAGAACTGAGCATCAAGCCTCATGTCTCTCCTTGTTAAGAAGATATTTAACAGACCATAAAATGGCGTTCTGGAGTTTTAACAGTTAATTATGTCTCAGGATTCTTCAGTCTGGCGGCTCAGAGAAACGCAGACAGAAATATGAGGAAAGCTGAATAAAACAATCAATCCTCCTTCTCTGCATCGTTCAGAACAACATGGACCTGCCGGGACGTTTCCACCCTGCAGTCAATCAATTGGACTGCAGAAGAAGAAACGTTGCTTTCGATGCAGATATCTGAACCAATAATGGTGGCAAAGAAACAAAATGTTTCTAATAATGAATGGAAGCATCAGAGGCGACGTTCACACTGCAGGCCTCAACGCAAACTTTCAGCTAAATTGATTTAATTTTTCTGTTGTTCAAACAAACAAACAAACAAACATGCCTTGTTCTGATGTTGCCTTGGAGACGGTATTTTAATGTGGAAAACAGCACAACAAAGAGAAAACTGCCAACATTTAACCGCCTCGTCTTTGGTGAAGGAAAACATTTGGACTCATTTTGTTGTGGAAAACAAACCTGGAACGTTGCTTTGATCCATGTTTGTCTGATTTAAAGTTGCAGCAACACGTCACATGTTGACAAGTTGCAGGATGTAATCAAAGCAACAAAACACAAACAGGCTGAATCTCAGCAACCTGATCGTTACTGTGAACACCGACAAGCAGGCGTGTGAGTGTGTGTGGGGGTGTGTGTGGGTGTGTGGGTGTGTGTGTGGGTGTGTGTGTGTGTGTGTGTGTGTGTGAGTGTGTGGATCTGGGTGTGTGTGTGTGAGTGTGTGTGTGTGTGTGTGTGTGTGTGTGTGTGTGTGTGTGTGTGTGTGGATCTGGGTGTGTGTGTGTGGGTGTGTGTGTGTGTGTGTGTGTGTGTGTGTGTGTGAGTGTGTGTGTGTGGGTGTGTGTGTGTGAGTGTGTGTGTGTGTGTGTGGATCTGGGTGTGTGTGTGTGTGTGTGTGTGTGTGTGTGTGTGTGTGTGTGTGTGTGAGTGTGTGTGTGTGTGGGTGTGTGTGTGTGAGTGTGTGTGTGAGTGTGTGTGTGTGTGTGTGTGTGTGTGTGTGTGTGTGTGTGTGTGTGCGTGTGTGTGTGTGTGTGTGTGTGTGTGTGTGTGTGCGTGTGTGTGTGTGTGTGTGTGTGTGTGTGGATCTGGGTGTGTGTGTGTGGGTGTGTGTGTGTGTGTGTGTGTGTGTGTGTGTGTGTGTGTGTGTGTGGATCTGGGTGTGTGTGTGTGGGTGTGTGTGTGTGTGTGTGTGTGTGTGTGTGTGTGTGAGTGTGTGAGTGTGTGTGTGTGTGGGTGTGTGTGTGAGTGTGTGTGTATGTGTGGGGTGTGTGTGTGTGTGTGTGTGTGTGTGTGTGTGTGTGTGTGTGTGTGTGTGTGTGTGTGTGTGTGTGGATCTGGGTGTGTGTGTGTGACATCATCAGTGATTGAGTGATGATTCAAGGTCATGGTGGTAATTAGAGTCGGCTGGACGTCGGCGTGAAGCGTCTGCTGAATTATCGTGTTCTACGGATCGTCTTCGTTTTGTCTTCTGTTGTTGTGATTCTTTATCACAATTATATTTTTTGTAGTAGGTTTATTAATCATTTCTAAACTGAATCTAATTTTCCTCTCATCATGCTTTTATGTTTTGTGATATTTTTAGAGAGCAGCTGAAACACCAGCCTTTCACTATTTATTATCTGTCTGTCTGTTTAAAGTTGAGTTTTGGACATAAGAATAACAAGAGCAGAACTGGAGGTGAAACACTAGTTGCACAAGATGTTATAATAAAACAGACAAGAATATGGAGGGAGAACAGATCGTTTCACAGACGGAAGGTTCTGGAGAACGACCCGGCTGAACCCATTATTATCTCGGCTGTAGGAGGAAAATAACATTGGGACCAACTCGACCCGGTGTACTCTCCCTCCGGTACCGCAGAACAATAAAAGTCTTTCTGCTAACAATCACCACCGTTGGGGGCAACAGGAAGGAAAGTGAAGGACATCATGTTGGTGCAAAGCTAAAAAACACTAAATGATAATAACTCCAGATTCGCTGTAAGCATTTTTACTCTTCAGGGATCAGAATAAAGCGTCTCTGCAATATGCTGCAAAAACAGGCCACTATATTCATAGACAGATGGGGCCACATTAACTTTCATCTACATTTTTATTTTATTTATTGTATGATGGATCAATACAGAGCATCAGTGCAATGAAAGCAAAATTATATTTTCTTTTATTCTTTTCAAGTGAAAACTGAAAATTGTTCCACCTTTACTCTGATCCCCTTAATAAAACTGAACCATAATCTGTCAGTAAACCATTTCATTTATTCTCAGTTCTAATCCAGATGTTCTGGTTCTGCTCTCTGCAGTCAATCAGAGAAACCCAACAGAATCTGAACAAATACAATACAGTCTTCTTTAATTCATCTGCTCCAGTGAAATATTTGGTCCACAAGTTTAACATCTCCGATCCAACATAATCTGCAGCTTTAAAATTTCCTTCAGATGCGTCTAAATGTCTGACAAACCTTTCATCATAAAGATCACAGAACATGTAAGGGGCTAATTTTCTAATACTAATTTCAATCTCTGGTTCTGCCATTTACTGAGCGTTATTTCTGTTAGCGGTCGTCGTTAATGACGGACGCCTTGCTTCGCTCATGTTGAGATTAACTTTCTGTTTCCTCTCCTCAGATAACTGGAGCTGCAGAGAAACCATGGAGAGTAACAGAGCTGGTCTGAATCCAAACGCATCATGCATCCTGTTACAGAGCTAAAATTCCTCCTGGCTTCAGATGTTTCCAGATAGAGACTCCGTCCTCCTCTTTATCTGCCTGATAGCTAATCCATGCAGCTTCTCCTCGTTTCTCAGATTATAGCGATCCAGCTTCACTTCTTGTACATTACTGCCAAACTGCACGTCTCCCCCTGAACACTCACACTGTTTTCCTTTGTTCTCCTCTTAATTGGTGCTGCAGAAGCGTCACAACATCTGCACTGAAGGTCAAGCTCCCGTTTCATTTCACTTCCTTAAATTGGCTGCTCCTGCTTTTCTGTGAGACTCATTGAACTGAATAAATTCTTCATTTCAGTTTAAGCCTCCTGCTCTCCATCTAAATGGAGTCTGTAGGGATTTTTGTTCTGACAGTCAGACTCTGAATGGTTTAATTGGCTCCTCATCTAATCAGGAATCTAGTGATGTGCGTCCAGTGCAAAGCCAGCAGAGGAGAGCAAACACTGATCGTATCTCACAACAAGGAGAGGAAACGAAGGACGTTTAGGACAAAATGAGTCTGGCTGCTCACATTACCCGATGAAACCATGAAACATGAAACCATGAAACATGAGACCATGAAACATAAAACCATGAAACATGAGACCATGAAACATGAAACCATGAAACATGAAACCATGAAACATGAAACCATGAAACATGAAACCATGAAACATGAGACCATGAAACATAAAACCATGAAACATGAAACCATGAAACATGAAACCATGAAACATGAGACCATGAAACATAAAACCATGAAACATGAGACCATGAAACATGAAACCATGAAACATGAGACCATGAAACATGAAACCATGAA